ACTCCCAAAATGGTAACAAGACGTCTTAAAAAGAGCCGTAGCTTATAATTCGGACGATGAGTGTGTCACGCTCAACTTTAGATGAAACCCATACCTCGAACCTACTCAACCAATTTCATCAAATTCGTTGGTGACATTACCTGACATTTGTGTGTTACAGTGTAAATATGGGCGAAATTTGCCATACAACTTTAAATTTTATCTGATTCTAAAAATTGTCAAAATCGACCATAACTGCTCAACCCCCAAATAAACAGAAGATGTAGAACCTAGCAGAAAACGTATAAACAGAGAACTTACAAGATATGAAGATTCGATGCGAACATTTGAAAATTTCAGTAGAAGATTCATCTCAACAACTCCGTGGAAAATTAACATTGTTTTGATTTTAGCAGACAAGGAATCTATGAATTAGAGCTTTGTTTACATCATCAACCACGAATTTTGATGAGACGAACCAGAGAATTAATGCATGCTAATGTGCATTTTTTTACATTATTATTGAATTTTTAGTTAAGTAAATTTATACTAAATAAATACTTAAATAAATATCAATAGCATAAGCAGACATCACAAGTCAATATGGCGATCAATTGCCCGAAGCAAAATGTATAGTAAATCAACGCAACAACAACTTGCATCAGGGAAGGTTAAATTAGTTATACGTTTTCTGCTGCAGGTTACTCACACCTTTGATGTGACATAATTTAAAAGTCACTAGGTAACCTCGGCACTGGCTCCTGACTCTATAAAAAGCAGGCACCGTGCCTCGATGGCTCAATGCGATATGATTTAAAAGTCATGAGGTCACCTCGCGGAAAAGCTGGCTGCCATCTGGCTCAATAATAAGTAAAGCAAGCACCGTGCCTGGACCTGCGCTCAGGTGACTCTCGTGCTCGATGTGATGTTATTTAAAAGCCTGAGGTGACCTCGCGGAAGCTGGCTGCCATCTGGCTCTATATAAGTAAAGCAGGCACCGACCTGGACAGCGCAAGGTGACTCTCGTGCCTCGATGTGATATGATTTAAAGTCATGAGGTGACGTCACGAGAACCTGACGCAACTCGCTCTACATAAGTAAAGCAGGCACCGTGCCCGCCTGCGCTAAGGTGACTCTCGTGATTCGATGTGATGTTATTTAAAAGCATTGAGGTGACCTAGCGGAAAGCTGGCTGCCATCTGG